TCTCCCCGAGAGTCCTCTCTTCCTACTCTTGCTGACCCAGAGTCTGACTCCCTTCGTACTGCCAGTCCTACTGTCACACGTCTCCTGGCTATTGCTGTCAATGACCCTTCCTTTGAGTCCACTGCTGCGTCTGCCTTAGATGCTGAGCTTGTCGACTTTGCTGCTCGCTGTCGTCCAGACTACGCTGGTAGTCTTGTTGCTGAGTCTGAGTCTGTCTGTCCTCCGTCCGTCGGGGGTGAGTGTGCTCTTAGCACGGACGTCCTTGAGGACAGGCAGGAGGAGTTCTGGTGTCTTGCTGCTGCTTTACCTCATCTCGTGTCCATACTGATTGCCCCTGAGGGAGACCCGGATGCACCAGACATCCCGAGTCCGCGCTCTTACGCAGAGGCGATAGAGGGTCCCTACTCCTCTCAATGGCAGTAAGCCATGGACGCAGAGATGGCTTCCTGGAAGTCCACAGGCACCTACGTCGACGAGGCTCCCCCACCTGGGGCGAACATCGTCAGTGGCATGTGGATTTTCAGGGTGAAGCGGCCGCCGGGTTCTCCGCCTGTCTTCAAAGCGCGTTACGTGGCTCGAGGCTTCAGTCAGCGGCAGGGAGTTGATTACTTTCAGACCCTCTCTCCTACCCCGAAGATGACCACTCTTCGGGTGCTGCTGCACATAGCCGCTCAGCGTGACTACGAGCTTTACTCTCTTGACTTCAGCACTACTTTCCTACAAGGCAGCCTGCACGAGGAGATCTGGCTGCGCCGCCCACTTGGCTTCACTGGGTCGTTTCCTCCTGGTACCCAGTGGAGCCTCCGGCGGCCAGTCTACGGTCTCCACCAGGCGCCCCGTGAGTGGCACGACACACTGAGGACTACACTTGCGGCTCTTGGGTTTGCTCCTTCTACTGCCGACCCGTCGCTGTTTCTACGCACCGACACCTCTTTGCCGCCGTTCTACATCCTCGTGTACGTTGACAACTTGGTCTTTGCTACTACTAACACTGCTGGACTCGCCCACGTGAAGTCTGAGCTGCAAAAGAGAGACACGTGCATAGACCTGGGTGAACTACGCAGCTACCTTGGCTTGCAGATCACCCGGGACAGAGCACAGCGCAACATTACTCTGACTTAGTTACACATGGTGCAGCAGGTCCTTCAGCGCTTCGACTTCACGTACTCCTCGCTTCAGGCCACTCCTCTGTCTACTCGCCACTCGCTCTCAGCTCTGCCTTCGGATGAGTCCGTAGAGCCGAGTGGTCCGTACCCAGAGCTAGTTGGCTGCCTCATGTACCTGATGACCTGCACTCGACCTGACCTTGCATACCCTCTTAGCATCTTGGCACGCTATGTTGCTCCTGGGAGACACCGACCAGAGCACATGGCTGCAGCGAAGAGGGTGTTGCGCTACTTGTGCAGTACGTCGAGCATGGGGCTCGTGCTTGGAGGGCGGAGTCCAGTGGTCCTCACTGGTCATGCAGAGGCTTCTTGGGCTGACGACTAGGCTACGGAGCGGTCGCCACAGGGTTACACCTTCAGCCTTGGTTCCGGCTCTGTTTCGTGGCGGTCTACGCGCTCGTCCTCTGTTCTCGGCTCCAGTTGTGAGGCTGAGATCTACGCAGGGGCCATGGCTGCACAGGAGCTACGCTGGCTCACCTACCTGCTGACTTACCTAAGAGAGGCGCCTCGTTCTCCTCTAGTTCTGTACGTAGACAACAAGGCCATGCTGGCTTTGTGTCGGGAGCACAGGCTGGAGCACAGAACGAAGCACATTGCTCTTCGCTACTTCCTTGCCCGTGAGCTGCAGCAGCGTGGTCAACTGCGCCTTGCTTACGTAGCCTCTAAGGCCAACACTGCTGATATCTTTAGCAAGGCACTTCAGCCTTGTGATCATCGGTGCTTTTGTACGATGCGAGGTCTTGTGCCTACTTTGCCTCACTTGCTCACTTCTTGACCTTGTTTGTACTGTGATCTATCTAGACATGCACTTGCTTGTTTACATTTATATATAATCTTGCATGTGAACTGGCCTTGTGGCCTTGAACTTGTGCTCGGAATGTGTGGTGACTTTATGATCCACCCTGAGCTTGCTGTGATTTGCTTGACTGGTCTTGTGACCTCTTGTTCTCCCCCACTTTGCCTATAGGGGTGTGTCAAATTTATATGCTATGGTCTGTCTAGGCTGTAGTGGGGTAGATGCTATAGGGTACAACATTTCTTGGTTTTCTACTTGTACCCACATTTCACCTAGTCATTTCATTCCTCGTTCTTTCACATATGTTCCCCCCTCTATGCCCTCATGGGCATGGGTTGCTATTTAAATATCTTATATTTACTCAACAGAAATTCAAACGTTGATATTAAGTTCTTGTATTCATTTTCTTTGTACCATCAGTACGTTCTGGTGGCCGTTTACCTCTATCTAATATTATTTATGTTGTGAAGGGAATATATGCTGTACGTGTACGTGTGTAATGTATTCATTTGCTGCATCATTTACGGCTTTCCCGAACGCACAATCCCGCACCCCCTTCAAACCAACCATGCGTGGTGAGATGGTGGGGCGAGCACTGTATTCTATCACATATGCTTCGTTTTCGCCCCCTCCCGCTTCCCGCAGTCGCCCCGCCCGCCTCGCCCTTGCGTTAATCCACCCGTGGGTTTCGCGCCGGTAGAAGCGCGCTTCCCAATGTCCTCATCGCACCACCACTCCGCGCGCGCCACGCTACGAGCCCGCTGGCACGGCGGCGCGCACAAGGCGGGTTACGGAATCCGCGCGGCGCACGTCATCCAGGCGTGCGCCTTCGCTATAGTCACGCTCTGGCTCTGCTACCATTGGTCGCACGCCCCCCGCCGCCAGCCCCCGCACGACGCGGACCCGGCGGCGGTGAGCGCGGGGAGGCTGCAGGTTCGGGGGCTCGTGGTGGAGCGGCCCAAGCCTAAAGATGTGGCTCGGCGGAAGAGCCGCAGCGTGATCTCCCTGGAGGGCCCCGGCGACCGCGACCTGCTGCTGGGGGACGGCGCTCTGGCGGACGCGGAGGGCGCGCGCGGCGGAGGGACGGCGCTGGCGGGGGGGGATATCGTGCGGCGCATCGTGGCGAAGGCGGGCATGGCGCAGGCGGCGGGCGTGAAGCTGAAGGACCTGGTGGAGGCGAAGGCGCAGGGCGGGGGGAACCTTCTGGGGGAGTTCGGGGGGGAGGCGGAGGAGGAGGGGGAGCGGAAGTGGGAGGAGGAGGGGGAGATGGAGGAGCGCGCGCTGGTGGACCTCAAGGGCGGCGGGCGCGAGGCGAAGGTGGTGCAGCGCGCGCTGGACGAGACGCGCGCCGTGGAGGGGGACGGCGCTGGGGAGGGGGGCGCGGAGGGGGAGGGCGAGCGCGAGGGCGCTGCGTCGTCGGCGCTGGAGGTGGCGGAGGACGCGGAGCTGGGCGCGGGGAGGGGGGGCGCGGATGAGAGAGGGGCGGGGGGCGGGCGGGAACAGCAGGCGGGGCGGGGGGAGGGACAGGGTGGAGGGGGGAGCGGGAAGTTGTTCAAGGTGGAAGGGAGAGGGGAAGAAGGGGCGGAGACGGAAGGGGAAGAGCAGGGAGGGGAGGCGGGGCAGCAGGGACGGGGAGAGGAGGAGGATGAAGAAAGTGGTGAGGAGGATGGGGCAGCCGAGAGCGGCAGCAGCAGCAGCAGCGGCAGCGGCGGCGCATGGGAGGGGCAGCAGGGGGGGGAGAAGGAGAGTAGTGTGAGCCACCCAGTGGAGCTGGCGGGCACAAGGCGCATGGCAGTGCGCCTGCACGCCCCCTCCGCGCGCCTGCTGCTCGCCTTCTCCCCCTCCCGCGTTGCCATGCCCGCCCACCCGCCCACCCGCCTCACCGCCGTGCCGCCCCTGCTGCTGCCGCTGCTGCCGCCCGTGCTGCAGGGCCGCCCGCTGTCAGCCTTCCAGGCGGAGGGCGCTGCTGCTGCTGGTGCTGCTGCTGCTGGTAGTGGTGGTGGTGGTGGTGGTGGTAGTGGTGGTGGGAGGGGAGTGGGGAAGGGCAGCACGCAGGGTGTGACGTGGCGGGGGCACGTGCGAGTGGGCAGAGGTGAGGGGGAACCGGGGATAGAGAGAGGTGTGGGTTGGTGGTGCATGAATTTATTGCCTCTGCCTCCCCTCTCCTCGCCTCCTCTCCCTTCCACCCCACCATTCATTCCCTCTCCATCCTTGTCATTCCCCTCTCGCCCACACACTATCCGTCACCCCTCTCCTGCGTTCCCTCACCCCATTGAAGCGTCATCCCTCCTCCCTCTGCCCCCGTGTGTGTGCTACACACCGTGCGTGCCTGGTGGGCGCAGGGGACAGTGGGACTGCGGAGGGGACGGTGGAGAGCGACGGGGTGAGGGGAGGGGGCGAGGAGGGCGGGGAGGGCGAGGAGGTGGAGGTGCGGGTGGGAGTGAGCGCGGAGGTGCTGAGTGCGCGCGCCATCGCTGTCACGTGGACCGTGACGCCCGCACTTGTACGTGCTGCCTTGCACTGCCTGCCCTCTGCCCACTCGCACGTGCCCCCGCCACGTCACACCCTGCGTGCTGCCCTTGCACTGCCTGCACTCCACGCCCCTGTCTGCGTACCACATGGTCACACTTCGTCTCCCCCCTCTCCCTATGTTGCAAAATACGCGACTGGCGTACCAGTCGTGTACGAACAATACGCTCACGTACGTACGTGAGACGCGGGATTTCCGCCACACGATACGCTCGAAATACGGTCGCCCAGGCAGGGGAAAAAAAGTTCCCGGGCAGGGGAAAAAAGTATCAGGGGGTGAGTCACGTTGCCTATGTTCATTGTGACCTTGCACATTCTGGTTTTTCCCCACGTATGAAACTTTTGTTCCCCATTACAAACATGCATTGCAAGTACACACATACTAGCAATTACTTGACGGAAACATCCCCTAACTCCCCTACTCCCCAAACCTTCAAATGCTTCTCCTCCTCCTTTACTCCTCAATCTCGCCGCCTCCTCAACCACTTACCGAGCTGCTGCTGCCTTTCTTACTCCACGTACTCATCGGCCAGCACGACATCATCCTCCTCCCCCTCCTCCTCCTCCTCCTCCTCCTCCTCCTCCTCCTCCTCCTCCTCCTCCTCCTCCTCCTCCTCCTCCTCCTCCCCTTCCTTCTCCTTGTTGTATCCCTCCGGCAGAGCAGGTTCAGGGGTGTTGCCCGGAAGCACCGCCAGTGACTCACCCGGCTTGTGGTACTTGTGGACCACATGCCAGTTGTGGGTCACATAAACTAGGTCTCGGAGCTTCTCCGAGCCTAGCTTGTTGCGGCGGGCAGTGTGCACCGACTCCCACGATGCCCACCCGCGCTCACAAGGCGAGGCCGACACCGGCTGTGTCAGGGCACGGCATGCAAGGCTGGCCAGGTGGGGGTGGTCAGTCCCGTGCCATCCCCACCACTGCACCATCGAGTGCTTGCTTGCCTTCACGGCCTCCCTGTTAGCAATTGCCTCAGGGAGGCCGAAGGATCCTTCAAGGGTGAGGAAGGCCGTGAGCCCCTCCTGCAAAACAGGAGAGGCCCGCCTCTCCTCACCGTCCTTGTTGGTGAACGTCTTACCGTCGTAGTGACGTGCGATGAACGCCTTGAAGATGCGGGTACATTCCACGTCGTTGCTGAATGTACCCTCTTCCTGATTTTCCGGGTTCAGGATCCGCCCCACAACGTGAAGAGCGCAAGCAAGGCTCTCATCCCAACGGCGCCTAACAGTCTTCCCAATGTCATCCGCAACCGCCCGCGACAGAATCTTCTCCCCCGCTTCCAGCTTGTCGTTCACGTCCTCGGTCAGCTGCAGCATAACGTCGTAGATGGTTCCCATCATGCCTTTCGCGCTGCTGTCCGTGGCCCGCATCACCTTGATTGGAATCGCCAAGAGCTCCACCAGGTACGTAGCGTTCTTCCACCATGCGTCGTCCATGACGTGGCCGCGGAACGTATCCGCTGTCAGCTTCCTAGCCCCCGCCGACAAGTTGGCGTACTCCTCGCTCAGCACCATCTGCGACAGTGTGGACCGCAGCTGGACGAGCCTTGAGAGGGCGATGTAGTTGGTGCCGAACCTGGTCCCCGCCGGCTTCACAAGCTGCTTCCCCTTTCCTCCTTCACCTTCCTACTCCGCAGGTAATTGCGGGTGAAATGGTGGTTCCGAACGTAGATGATAATGTCCCCGCACCGATCCACAATGTCCTTGCACCACGTGATTTTGCCCACGTCCTCCATCAGGAGGTCGAGCACGTGCGTAGCGCATGGCACGTACTCGATGTGCGGCCAATCCGCCATCAGCTCCTTGCAGGCAGCCCGGTAGTTTGAGAGCCCCCGTCCATGCAAAGGGCTACCACGTTTTCGGGCCCCACCTTCTCGATGATGGGCCGGAGGAGGGACGCTATGTAGCCGCCGGCTATGTTGGAATTGACGCGTCAAGCGTCTTTGACGCTAGCGTCAAAACGCTAGCGTCTGGACGCTTGACGCACAATCCTGATTCTTTTGACGCAGTTTTGACGCTCTGGCGGGCAGCCGAAAAAACTATCGGGCAGCAATAGAAAAGTATAACGGGGGAGGGAGGGGAGTGATAAGGCGAAAGTTAAGGGGTAATAGGAGTGGAACGGCGATCTAATTTCGTAGGTACAGGATAGTCAATCCAACCCTAATTTCTGTCAAGTAGCTTGCAAAGCAGAGAGTGACGACCTGGATTGGCGTGACTGATTTTTGTCAACTTCAGTTGGTTCGATTTTCTAGTTGCGTTGCGGTACAATGTGGTGTGGGGAATGTTTTTGTGTTTCTGTTTTGTGAGGGGTGTCCGGTTTTTGACTCCATTTTGCCATCGATAGCCTCGATAAACACCGCTCCCGAATCGTTGACCAGCATGACATTCGCGTGCGGCCTCTCGCACCGATCGGTCATCAAGTCGGAGGAGACAGTGACGACATCACTCTTCCAGCTCGCGGCGATGGGCTGAAGCCCCTTCTCGAGGCCCTGCCGGCATTGTTTCAGCCCAGCTCCTCCCACGTAGGTACGGCGCGGCGCGGCATAACCGTGAGGTGCGTTGTTGATGGCCCTGACCATGTTACTCCACAACGGGTTGTCGGCGTGGTGTTCGGGAATGCGACAGCCGACGAAGAGCATACAGACGGAGTTGTCCGCCTCGCCCTTGTTGCATTGCGCCTCGTCGCCAATGAAGTCGGTGATGCGGCCTTTCTTCGCACCTCCCACAACAGCATCGAGCGCAGCATCCTCGGCCCGCCTTTACGTGCGTACGGAAAAAGCGCGAACTTTTTTTTTTTCCTGCCCGGCTTTCCGTATCGCGCATTTGTCCCCGTTTCACGTTTTTGCGTTTATACGTGAACGCATATACGTGAAATGAAAAATTTGCAGAGCGTATACGGTAACATAGCCCTCTCCCTTCCCCCCTGCCCTCCCGTTCGCCCACCACCCCTGCCCGTGCATTCCACCACCCCTGCCCGTGCGTTCCACCACCCCTGCCCGTGCATTCCACCACCCCTGCCCGTGCATGCCTCCAACATGCGCCAGCCAGCAGCAGCACGGCGTGCACAGCGCCCCTTTGAAGCGCCTCTGCACCTGGAGCTGAAGGTGAGAGAGGGGTGCAGGTGAGAGAGGGGTGCAGGTGAGAGAGGGGTGCAGGTGAGAGAGGGGTGCAGGTGAGAGAGGGGTGCAGGTGAGAGAGGGGTGCAGGTGAGAGAGGGGTGCAGGTGAGAGAGGGGTGCAGGTGAGAGAGGGCCCTTCAGTTCATGTCATGCCTTCCGCCTCTGGTAGTTGTCGCACGACAGCATCTCACTTCATTCCTCTTTGCTCTGCGCCCACCACTGCCTCCCCCCAGCTGTCACACACACACTTCTCACTTGCCTTCCCGCCAATTCTGCCCCTTCTTGCCGTTTGCAGATCCAGGACAGCCCTGTTGGGTGGTACGGTGGTGGAGAGCGGTTCAATGCGGTGAACCAGAAGGGAAGTGTGCTGCCCATGGCAAGCCGAGACACACCCTCAGGCAACCAGGTGGGACCTTGACTCCACTTGGGGTTGGGACCAGGTGGAACCAGGTGGGACCAGGTGGTGTTGTAAATGTATATCTTATATACCATTCATAGGCTAGAATAGGTGTAGTTATTGGGGGGTTGGTTGTACACTCCAACCACACCTTGTGGTTGGTCAACATTGGGTTTGGTGATGGTCAACATTGGGTTTGGTGATGGTCAACATTGGGTTTGGTGATGGTCAACATTGGGTTTGGTGATGGTCAACATTGGGTTTGGTGATGGTCAACATTGGGTTTGGTGATGGTCAACATTGAGTTTGGTGATGGTCAACATTGGGTTTGGTGATGGTCAACATTGGGTTTGGTGATGGTCAACATTGGGTTTGGTGATGGTCAACATTGGGTTTGGTGATGGTCAACATTGGGTTTGGTGATGGTCAACATTGGGTTTGGTGATGGTCAACATTGGGTTTGGTGATTGTCAACATTGGGTTTGGTGATGGTCAACATTGGGTTTGGTGATGGTCCGTGGTTCGCACTTGCCAACCTTTTGGCCCTTAGACCAACCAATCCCAACCTAGCTACATTGTGAGGTTGCTTGCTCAACAAGGCATCTCACCCATTGGCCAACTTAGTGGCCAATAGGGTTAGATCTCTTCCACTCTTCCTGTCTTGCATGCTTGTATTATAGGGCCTCTTGGCTCATTAGTAAAGTACAATTTTGAGTTCTAATAGGTGGGACCAGGTGGGACCCCGACTTGAAGAGGCAGGGCGAACTTCTCTCTCTCGTGCGGCCCGTCCTCTCCACCCTCTCGTGCGGCCTGTCCTCTCCAGCCTCTCGATCAAGTCCATTATCGTCGTCGCGCAGCTTGCCTTGCCGCCATCGCGCACCTCACCTCACCTCATCCCCCCACGCGTCTCTCCTCCAGGCGGAGCGCACGTACAAGGCGGTGCCATTCGTGATGAGCACGTCGGGGTGGGGTGTGTGGGTGGACTCGCACGCCCAGGGCTCCTTCCTGCTCAACCACGCCTCCGACCCCCACCACCTGGTGCATGCATGGTGGTGCATGGTGCTGCATGCTGCATGCTGCATGCATGGTGGTGCATGGTCTATGCAGCAGCAAAGTGCATGTTATTGCTGGCTGTGTGGGCTGTTAGCAGTTACGCTTCCATTCCCTCCATCGCCGATTATTGTCGATGCCATTCGCTCCATTCCATTGCCATGCCACACCACCGTCGCCTATCGCTCACTTATCCCTTAACTTGCCCTCCACACCTTCACGTGCCCTCTCTCCTCTCGTTGCGCTCCATTCGCCCCTCCTCTGTCCCCCCACCCCCAGGTGCTGCGCTACCCGCTCTTCACGGCGCTGCGCGTGGTCTTCATGGCGGGGCCGCGCCTGCTGGACGTGCTCGCGCTCTTCTCACGCCTCTCCTCCTCGCGCCCCATCCCGCCGCCCCTCTGGGCCTTTGCGCCCTGGAAGGGCCGCGACGTGCACCGCAGCAGCCACGAGGTGCGCTGGGGTGATGGGGTATTTTCCTTGTGAAATGATGTCCAGGGCAGTCTAAAAAAAACTGTGCCCACCATGGAAGCAATGCAATCACAATCAAAATTGTGATGTGGGCGATGGACGCACATTGCATGGGGGATGGACGCACATCGCATGGGGGATGGACGTACATTGCATGGGGGATGGACGCACATCGCATGGGGGATGGACGTACATTGCATGGGGGATGGACGTACATTGCATGGGGGATTAAATCCCGCAACCCGAATTGCGGAGCGTGAGGGACAAGATAACTAGTCGTGCGCACTAGGCGTTTTGGGTGCTGTATGTTGGCGAATTCTTAGCTCACAGGCATCCCAGTGGCTCACAGGCCCCCCATTGTTGAGCAGGTGTCAGTCAACCCGTGGATGGGCTCGCCGTGTGAGGTGCTTGTTCAAGCCCTCCTTGCTGGGGGTGACAGTGCGCCACATGCCAGCCTTCTTGTCTTTCCTGTCTCTTGCATTGCATGGCGGATGGACGCACATTGCATTGCATGGCGGATGGACGCACATTGCATTGCATGGCGGATGGACGCATATTGCATTGCATGGCGGATGGACGCACATTGCATTGCATGGTGGATGGACGCACATTGCATTGCATGGCGGATGGACGCACATTGCATTGCATGGGGGATGGACGCACATTGCATTGCATGGCGGATGGACGCACATTGCGTTGCATGGGGGATGGACGCACATTGTTGTAAATGTACATTATATACAACATTCATATGCTAGAATAGGTGTAGTCCCTTATGTTCTTGGGGGGTTGGGTGTACACTCGAACCACACTTTGTGGATGGTCAAGATTGGATTTGGTCCTTGGTTGGCACTTGGTCCCAACACCAACCAATCACATCCTATCTACATTGTGGGGTTTCCTACTCGACAAGGCACCTCACCCATTGGCCAACTTAGTGGCCAATAGGGTTAGCTCCTCCTCCACTCCTCTCTTCCTTGCATGCTTGTACTATAGAGCCTCCTTGGCTCATTACTCAATCATTCTTGAATTCTATCACACATTGCATTGCATGGGGGATGGACGCACATTGCATTGCATGGGGGGTCGCATGTGAATTGCATGGGGCGTGCATGCGCGCCTTACCTTCAGGTTTTGGAAGATGCGGAGAAGCTGCGGCAGCATGGCATACCGGGGTCGGTGATTCTAATTGACAGCCCGTGGCAGACGGCGTACAACGACTTCACCATCAACCGCCACCAGTTCACCGACCCCCAGACGCTCTTCTCCAAGCTGCATGCCCTCGGGTGCGTGCTGCTGTTTGTGTTAGAAAACGATACATTTGAAAGATCCAAAAGTGGACTGATAAAGTGGTTGAATCAAACAAAATGGCTCCCCTCTCTCCTCTCCCCTCTCCCCTCTCCCCTCTCCCCTCTCCCCTCTCCCCTCTCCCCTCTCCCCTCGCCACTCTCCCCTCTCCCCTCTCCCCTCTCCCCTCGCCCCTCGCCCTGCACAGCTTCCGGGTGGTGTTTTGGGCGACGCCGTTCGTGAACGAGGTGAACCGCGTGGACATGCCGGGCATCACGGCTGCCGCCGGGCCCAACTTCCACGAGGCGGTGCGCCGCGCCTTGCTGGTGCGCAACGCCACGGGGCAGCCGCAGGTGGTGCGCTGGTGGAAGGGGCGCGGGGCGCGCGTGGACTTCAGCAGCGCGGAGGCGGAGCGGTGGTGGCGCGGGCAGATGGGGCGCATGCTGCAGTGGGAGGAGGTGTTTGGCGGGGTGAAGGCGGACGACGGCGAGGGCGGGTACTTTGAGGCGGGTGCCGTGTTCCATGACGGCACGCCGCTCCCCCTCATGCGCAACAAAGTGAGCCCACCTGCTGCCTGCTTCGCTTGCGTCCGTGCAACTGTTGTGATGTCCGTGCAACCTGTTGTGATGCCCGTGCAACCTGTTGTGATGTCCGTGCAACCTGTTGTGATGTCCGTGCAACCTGTTGTGATGTCCGTGCAACCTGTTGTGATGTCCGTGCAACCTGTTGTGATGTCTCTCACATCCTCTGCATCGTTTCCACTCCCCTTCCTCTGCCCCTCTCTAACCTACCTCTGCCCTCACCGCCTTCTCCTCTCGTGCTGCCACTCACTGCCACTCACAGCCACTCACACTTACTGCCGCTCACACTTACTGCCACTCACACTTACTGCCACTCACACTTACTGCCACTCACACTTACTGCCACTCACACTTACTGCCACTCACACTCACTGCCACTCATGTGTCCCAAACAAAGTTGGTTGAGTGCGCACATGGTTGAGTGCGCACATGGTTGGTATCTGTCAACGTCACAGCATGTCCAGTAAAGCACATGCATCGTTCCATCTCCCCTCCATACTGCCATCCTCGCCCTCCATGATGCCAATCCATCTGCCACACCGCCCTCTACTCTTCCAAACTGCCCCTCTTTGTCCAGCCTCCCACGTGCGCCCTTCTATCTCCATGTGCCTTCACTCGCTACCTTGCCTTACCTAGCCTTTGACCTGATCCCACACCGTCGCCCCCCGTGGTGGCCGTGGCAGTACGTGCAGCTGTACCCAGCTCCCTGCTCGTGTGTGTCACTGCCTCCCCCACCGTGCCTCGCAATGGCAGTATGTGCAGCTGTACCTGGGCAGCATGCAGCGCTTCATCAACCACAGCGTGGGGCCCACCCAGGGCGTTGTGCTCGCCCGCTCTGCCTTCACTGGCACTGCCAGGTGATTCCCTCCCCACCCTGCCAGGTGATTTCCACATTGCCAGGTGACTCCCACACTGCCAGGTGATTCCCACCCTGCCAGGTGATTCCCACACTGCCAGGTGATTCCCACACTGCCAGGTGATTCCCACACTACCAGGTGATTCCTACACTGCCAGGTGATTCCCACCCTGCCAGGTGATTCCCACACTGCCAGGTGATTCCCACACCCTGCCAGGTGATTCCCACACTGCCAGGTGATTCCCACACCCTGCCAGGTGATTCCCACACTGCCCGGTGATTCCCACACTGCCAGGTGATTCCCACACCCTGCCAGGTGATTCCCACACCCTGCCAGGTGATTCCCACACCCTGCCAGGTGATTCCCACCCTGCCAGGTGTTTCCCACCCTGCCCGGTGATTCCCACACTGCCAGGTTATTCCCACACTGCCAGGTGATTCCCACACTGCCAGGTGATTCCCACACCCTGCCAGGTTATTCCCACACTGCCCGGTGATTCCCACACTGCCAGGTGATTCCCACACCCTGCCAGGTGATTCCCACACTGCCAGGTGATTCCCACACTGCCAGGTGATTCCCACACTGCCAGGTGATTCCCACACTGCCAGGTGATTCCCACCCTGCCAGGTGTTTCCCACCCTGCCCGGTGATTCCCACACTGCCCGGTGATTCCCACACTGCCAGGTGATTCCCACACCCTGCCAGGTGATTCCCACACTGCCAGCTACTTGCAACACTACCGGATGATTCCATCACCACCACGCGATTCCCACCCATCGTGCCCTTTCCAACTCCTCTTCATGTGCCCAGTATACACTGTCCTGTCCCCTCTCCTCTGCGCCCCTACCTCACCTCTTCTTTTATTCCACACTGCCTGTTCCAGTCTACACTGGCTTGTCCCTGCTCCTTCCTCGCTCCTCTCTGCGCCCTCTGCCCTCCTCCCTTCCCCCCGGGGCAGCTCATTCGTGTGGGCGGGCGACAACAGGGCGTCCTTCTCTCGCGCGGACGGGCTGCCATCGGTGGTGGTGGCGGGGCAGACAGCGGCACTCTCAGCGCTCTACCTGTGGGGCAGCGACATCGCCGGCTATCTGGGCAAGGCCATCCCGCGCAACGTCTTCATCCGCTGGACGCAGTTTGGGTCAGCCTCCTCCCATTGCCCGCCCCAAGCCGCACCCAAGCCGCCTGCAGTGATGTGTGACCACCATGTGGCGCTGCAGTGATGTGTGACCACCATGTGGCGCTGCAGTGATGTGTGACCACCACGTGGCGCTGCAGTGATGTGTGACCACCACGTGACGCTGCAGTGATGTGTGACCACCACGTGGCGCTGCAGTGATGTGTGACCACCACGTGGCGCTGCAGTGATGTGTGACCACCACGTGACGCTGCAGTGATGTGTGACCACCATGTGGCGCTGCAGTGATGTGTGACCACCACGTGGCGCTGCAGTGATGTGTGACCACCACGTGGCGCTGCAGTGATGTGTGACCACCACGTGGCGCTGCAGTGATGTGTAGGGATGAGCAAAGGGCGAACACGAACATGTTCGTCTTCGCCCCTTGTCGAACACCCTCTTTTGCCGAACCGAACACTGTTCGGTTCGGCGAACACTTTGAGCAAAAAATGGTGTTCACCGTTCGCCTGTGAAGGCGTGTTCGGGCGAACCTCGAACACTGTTCGTGTTCGTCGCGGGCAAATTTCAGCAGTGGCCCGAACACGAACGTGTTCGGGCGAACATCGAACATTGTTCGGCGAACGATTTGAGCTAAAAAACAAAACCTGTTCGGTTCGCCTCGAACACGTTCGAGGCGAACCGAACAGGTGTTCGCCACCTTGCTCATCCCTAGTGATGTGTGACCACCACGTGGCGCTGCAGTGATGTGTGACCACCACGTGGACCCACATGCACGCGTGCTGTCATTGCCTCTCATCATCAGTTTCTTCCATGACACGTCCATCCATGCATGCACCACATCATACTCACCTTTTTAAACATGACATTTCCTCTTTGTTTTCTTATGTTCCTCTCCTCCTCTGTTTGCCCCACAAGGCCTTCCCATACTTACCCTTTTGTGCCCCTTTTCGCCCCACCAACCAGCGCCATTTCCCTCTTCGCCCCACCAACCAGCGCCATTTCCCTCTTCGCCCCACCAACCAGCGCCATTTCCCTCTTCGCCCCACCAACCAGCGCCATTTCCCTCTTCGGCCCACCAACCAGCGCCATTTCCCTCTTCGCCCCACCAACCAGCGCCATTTCCCTCTTCGCCCCACCAACCAGCGCCATTTCCCTCTTCGCCCCACCAACCAGCGCCATTTCCCTCTTCGCCCCACCAACCAGCGCCATTTCCCTCTTCGCCCCACCAACCAGCGCCATTCCCTCTTCGCCCCACCAACCAGCGCCATTTCCCTCTTCATGCATTTGCTGAAAAGTCAAAGTTTTGTCTTCTCCTCCTCCTTCCCCCCCCCCTCTCCCCCCTCCCCCCTCCCCCCTCCCCCTCCCCCCTCCCCCCTCCCCCCTCCCCCTCAGCGCACTGTCCCCGTTGATGCATCAGTTCGGGCAGGCCAACAACGGCCCGTGGGACTACGACGCGCTCACGCTGCGCATCTACCGCCGCTTCGCCCGCCTGCACACCGCCCTCGCGCCCTACCTGCTGCGCGCTGCATGGCTCGCAAGCACGGAGGGGCGGCCCGTGATGTGCCCCATGGCGCTGTGTGCGCAGGGGGATGAGGCCGCGGAGAGTGGGCGGTGGGAGGGACAGTACCTGCTGGGACCCGACCTGCTGGTGGCACCCGTCGTCAATGAGAGCGACCACTTGCACGTGCGCCCCTCTCTGCCCTGATCTCTTGCTTCTCCGCCCCAGTAGATGCACCCAGTGCGTGCAAGTGCACCCAGTGCATGCGAGTGCACCCAGTGCATGCAAGTGCACCCAGTGCATGCAAGTGCACCCAGTGCATGCAAGTGCACCCAGTGCATGCAAGTGTACCCAGTGCATGCAAGTGCACCCAGTGCATGCAAGTGTACCCAGTGCATGCAAGTGCACCCAGTGCATGCAAGTGCACCCAGTGCATGCAAGTGCACCCAGTGCATGCAAGTGCACCCAGTGCATGCAAGTGCACCCAGTGCATGCAAGTGCACCCAGTGCATGCAAGTGCACCCAGTGCATGCAAGTGCACCCACCAGTGCATGCAAGTGCACCCAGTGCATGCAAGTGCACCCAGTGCATGCAAGTGCACCCACCAGTGCATGCAAGTGCACCCAGTGCATGCAAGTGCACCCAGTGCATGCAAGTGCACCCACCAGTGCATGCAAGTGCACCCAGTGCATGCAAGTGCACCCAGTGCATGCAAGTGCACCCACCAGTGCATGCGAGTGCACCCAGTGCATGCAAGTGCACCCAGTGCATGCAAGTGCACCCAGTGCATGCAAGTGCACCCAGTGCATGCAAGTGCACCCAGTGCATGCAAGTGCACCCAGTGCATGCAAGTGCACCCAGTGCATGCAAGTGCACCCAGTGCATGCAAGTGCACCCAGTGCATGCGAGTGCACCCAGTGCATGCAAGTGCACCCAGTGCATGCGAGTGCACTCAGTGCATGCGAGTGCACTCAGTGCATGCAAGTGCACCCAGTGCATGCAAGTGCACTCAGTGCATGCAAGTGCACCCAGTGCATGCAAGTGCACCCAGTGCATGCAAGTGCACCCAGTGCATGCAAGTGCACCCAGTGCATGCAAGTGCACCCAGTGCATGCAAGTGCACCCAGTGCATGCAAGTGCACCCAGTGCATGCAAGTGCACCCACCAGTGCATGCAAGTGCACCCAGTGCATGCAAGTGCACCCAGTGCATGCAAGTGCACCCAGTGCATGCAAGTGCACCCAGTGCATGCAAGTGCACCCAGTGCATGCAAGTGCACCCAGTGCATGCAAGTGCACCCAGTGCATGCAAGTGCACCCAGTGCATGCAAGTGCACCCAGTGCATGCAAGTGCACCCACCAGTGCATGCAAGTGCACCCAGTGCATGCAAGTGCACCCAGGGCATGCAAGTGCACCCAGTGCATGCAAGTGCACCCAGTGCATGCGAGTGCACTCAGTGCATGCGAGTGCACTCAGTGCATGCAAGTGCACTCAGTGCATGCAAGTGCACTCAGTGCATGCAAGTGCCTGTGCTGCTTCTCCATCTTGACGCATCCCTGTATGCTCTTGGCCTCTCCCTCCCCCCGTTCCCTGTGTGCATACCACCACTCCTCACCGCACCTCACGCGACACCCTCACTCCACACCCTCACGCCACACCCTCATGCCACGGCCCTCTCAGGTGTTCTTCCCAGCATCCACTCCGTACTGGCGCCATCTGTTCTCAGGGCGGCGGTACAGCGGAGGGCAGGTGGAGGGGGTGGCGGTGGCGTTGGAGGAGGCGGCGGTGTTTGTGAGGGAGGGCGCGGTGCTAGAGGTGCTGCCCGACCACACCGACACTCTCGTGCCCTGTGGCGCTCACATCCTCCCCTCCGTCACTTGCATGCCTAGGTGCGCCCTCCCATGCCCACGTGCGCCCCCCCATGCCCACGTGCGCCCCCCCATGCCCACGTGCGCCCCCCCATGCCCACGTGCGCCCTCCCATGCCCACGTACGCCCTCCCATGTCCAGGTCAGGTGCATTTGGTAATGTGCTGCATTGTGGGTACCAGTTCTCACAGGTCTCATGTGAGGGGCACTTGGTATCTGACGGACAGGCATCCAGGTCATGGTGTGTTGTGTGTTGCATGGTCACCTCCATGCGCCATGCCATACATCCTTGTCCCTCCATGCGCCATGCCATACATCCTTGTCCCTCCATGCGCCATGCCATACATCCTTGTCCCTCCATGCGTCATGCCATACATCCTTGTCCCTCCATGCGCCATGCCATACATCCTTGTCCCTCCATGCGCCATGCCATACATCCTTGTCCCTCCATGCGTCATGCCATACATCCTTGTCCCTCCATGCGTCATGCCATACATCCTTGTCCCTCCATGCGTCATGCCATACATCCTTGTCCCTCCATGCGTCATGCCATACATCCTTGTCCCTCCATGCGTCATGCCATACATCCTTGTCCCTCCATGCGTCATGCCATACATCCTTGTCCCTCCATGCGTCATGCCATACATCCTTGTCCCTCCATGGGTCATGCCATACATCCTTGTCCCTCCATGCGTCATGCCATACATCCTTGTCCCTGCTCCCGCCTGCCCCGTATCCCCCCATCAGCCATCGCACCATCCAGCTGTGGCCGGGCGGGGCCGGCAGCACAGAGCTGTGTGCGCTGCTGCGTGTGTCGCACCACTATGAGGGCACCGTCACCCCTGCCTCTCACGGACTGCCGGGCCACTCTGCCGAGTCCGCCAGCAGCGGCAGCGGCGCCGGCGCCGGTCATGTGAAGATGAGCAGCGCAGGAGGTGCAAGTGGCAGCTTGGCAGACGAGAGTGGTAGGGGTGTGGGTGGGGAGGGGAGTGGGGAGGGAGAGGTGGAGGCAGACGGGGGTGCGGGGCTGCAGGGAGGGGGTGATGGTGATGTGGCGAGGGGCGAGGGTGAGGCGGTGGAGGATCTTCCTCAGATGGATGCAGCGCAGGAGGACGAGGGGGGAGGGGCTGGGGCAGGAGGGGAGGGCAAGGACGAGGGAGATGTGAGAATGAGAAGAGCGAGGAGGCTGCTGGGGATGGGCGACGGTGCTCTGGAGGGGCTTGAAGTGGGTGTGCTGCACTTGAGGAGAGAGCAGCAAGAGGGGGGAGGCGAGCAGCAGCAAGGCAGGGCGGGCGGTGGGAGCGGGGGCAGGCGGGTGGTGGAGGTGGCATGGGGGGGTACGGCGCGCAGGGAGGTGCATGTGATGCTCATGTTCGAGCACGTCCCCCACGTCACACTCACACTGCTGCCACCCACGGGTGCCGCTCATGGCGCACAGGAGGGCCGGCGTGTGCCGTGTGAGAACGCTGAAAGCCTGGACAGGCCGCTGTCTCTCTGCCGTCTGCACCTAGATAAAGGGATCACACGGATAGTTTACCCTATGTGATATGCGTAGTACCAAACAAAAGCCTACGTACCACTCCTATACTTGGTAAAGATACCGTAATAGTGGTACCAGTTGTCCCCGGGTAGTAGCCCAGGTGCGCTTGTAATAAAATTGAATATTTTTTTAAAGGATTCCGCTTTTGATTGAGTTTAGGGTACAAGTGCATGCGCTTGTAAGCGAAAAATATGAAAAATGTTTCTAAAGGTACCGTACCAAATTGAAGCCTTAAATAAGGCGAATACAACCGTGAAACGTTCATGTCACATGTGGGATCATGCATGAAACGTTCTAGAAAAAGGTGAAATGTTCACGACCAGCGCAGCGCATAGCGTACCACGCATGCTCCTTTATGGGTTTAGGCGGGAGTTTCCCCGTCAATCATTCATGAGAATCCCGAGCCGCCAACCCGAAGGGGTCCCCTTCGATATTAATTTCTTCTCTCGTTCTTGCACCTTCTAATCAGTTTCCTTTCTCTCCAGCCTGGCCGCAGAAGCCAAGGCGGAATTCACTGGCACCCATTTTCTTTTCAAGAAGAAATCTAGGCCCACGTTTCGAATTAGCACTGACGTTTGGTACAGCCGTGTCCCACCAGATCCACACGAGCCACCACACCCGCCTGCGCCACCTACACCCCCTGTCAAATGATATATCTGCTATATATGTTTAGGCTGTAGTGGGGTAGCCAATATGGGGTACAACCCCTTTTAGGGTTTCATATTTGTACCCAACTCTTTCATAGTTCATTCATTCCTGCTACAAGATTCCAACATGGTATCATAGCACTAGGTCCGTAGGACCGTCTTTTTTTTCGGACCCACCATACCGTTGCGGTTACCGCGCTACCCCACGTGTTGTCCTGCCTTGCCTTGTGACGTGCTGCGCTGCGCGCGCCGTCCTGCAGCCCCCGCGCTGCCTCCTGCTGCCCTAGGCCAGCGCGCCGCCCCTGCAGGCCCGTAAGGCCCGCGCGCCGCCTCTGCAGGCCCGTCAGGCCCGCGAGCCGCCCCTGCAGGCCCGTCAGGCCCGCGAGCCGCCCCTGCAGGCCCGTCAGGCCAGAGCGCCACCCCGCCAGGTCGCTGACGCGGCCCCGCCCTGCCGCTGACGCGGTCCCGCCCTGCCGCAGTCGCAGCCCCGCCCTGCCGCCGACGCGGCCCCGCCCTGCCGCCAACGTGGCCCCGCCAGGTCGCTGTCGCGGCCCTGCTAGGTCGCTGTCGCGGCCCGCCCTGCCGCTGACGCGGCCCCGCCCTGCCTCTGACGCGGCCGCGCCCTGCCGCGGACGCGGCCCCGCCAGGTCGCTGTCACGGCCGCCCTGCCGCTGACACGGCCCCGCCCTGCCTCTGCCGCGGCCGCGCCCTGCCGCCGACGCGGCCCCGCCCTGCCTCTGACGCGGCCGCGCCCTGTCGCCAACGCGGCCCCGCCCTGCCTCTAACGCGGCCGCGCCCTGCCGTCGACGCGGCCCCGCCACGCCACTGATGCGTTGCCGCCCTGCCGCTGACGCGGCCCCACTTTTCCGCCAACGCAGCCCCGCCAGGTCGCGGTCCCGCCCTGCCGCCGACGTGGCCCCGCCAGGACGCTGTTGCGGCCCCGACCTGCCGCTGACGCGGCCCCGCCCTGCAGCTGACGCGGCCCTGACCTGCCGCTGACGCGGCCCCGCCCTGCAGCTGCCGCGGCCCTACTCTGCAGCCGCTGTTGCGGCCTCGCCGTCGCCGCCATCGTGCGCCTACCCTGCCGCCGCACGCCGAGCGCCGGCCCTGCTCGCCCGGCGAGCGCATGCCCTTCCCGCCACTGGTGAGCACCTGCCTTGATCACGCGCTGCCGCGCCCTCTGCCTGCCTGCCTGCCTGCCGCGCCTGCCCTGCCTGCGGTGCTGCTGCTACTACTGCTACTACTACTGCTACTGCTGCTACTGGCGGTGGCCAGATGCAGCTCCAGCGACGTCTGCGCGAGTCTCTCACCCCAGCAGCTTTGTGAGAGGTACGCTAGTTGGGGTTGTGGCGGTAGCCGTCGTGGCTGTCGCCCTGGAGCTGGTCAATCGGGAGCGTCTGGCAGTGGCCAGCTGCAGCTGCAATGGCCAGCTGCAGCTGCAGTGGCGTCCGCGCGAGACACTTACGCCCCAGAAGCTTCGTGAGTGGTACGCTCAGAGTAGAGGGTCTTTGAGTACTGTTCGCTGCCCGTACGTCATTCGCACAGGTGCTCGGGCTGGTCAGGCTTGCGGGACGCTTGGTCACACACAGTCCCGCTGCTTCGCCCATCTAAGTGACGCCTGGCGTACCGAGTGTGGCGACGAGGCTGAGCTCCCCACCTGGCAGGAGCTGCTTGGACAGAGGGTAGATATCTTTGCTCTTGACTATGATGCTATTCTCACTGCCATGTATGCATTGCCTACTAGTGCTGACCGTGCCTGTTACCTGTGCGTACCACCTGACCCAGGTATAGAGCCTGCTGATCTAGGTGCTGGTGAGGCTGCTGCTCTAGGTGCTAGTGCGTCTCCTGCTCTAGGTGCAGGTGAGGCTGCTGCTCCAGGTGTTGGTGAGTCTGCTCTCTCTGGTACTGCGCCTACTGAGGCCTTGTACACCTTCACACTTGACTCAGGTGCTTCCCGCTCCTTCTTTTGCGACAGCACCACCTTCACGCCGCTCAGTCGGCCGGTTGCAGTCTCCCTGGCAGATCCCTCTGGGGGTCCAGTCCTTGCGCACTCCTCCACGGTCCTGCTGTGTCCGGCGGTCCCGTCTGGCTCCCTGTCAGGTCTTCACCTCCCCTCGTTCTCTACGAACTTGGTGAGTGGTGCTGACCTCCAGGACCAGTGGGTTGACCAGTTCACTCCTGGAGGTCAGCGCGTGACCTAATGTACGTGCTCCCGGACAGGCCGGCACCTGGCCACGTTTACCCGTGTCGAGAGTAATAGAAATGAAGAGTTAAAAGGTTGGGCCTAGGCTTAGTAGCCTAGGCCCGAACTTAGGTATCGAGCGGTATTTTCCTTAGGAGCGATGTTGAGTGAGTTGAGAGAGAAATTGGTGAAAAGGTGGTTTCACTATAGGTTCAGGGGTACATATAGCATAGAAACAAAATAAGGTGCACCACCAACAAAAGTTTACATAACTACACTAACTACAACTACAAGCAATTATAAAACATGACAAAATATTTCGACACGCCCCCATAATGCTTGTAGGTAGGTATGTAGTTACAGCAACAGCAGGTACCCCTACCATCTCCTCATCCTCCTCCATCCCCTCCCCCACACTGCTGCAGAAGCAGCAGAGAAAGGGGGAAGAGAGAAGAGGTGGAGGGACGGCTGCTTGTTGCCTCACACCCGCCACCCCGGTACCACTCCCCCTCCTCACCCACATCCTCACACCCTCCTCCCCCAGCGGCAGCTGCAGCGGTGGGACTGAAAGAAGGAGGAGGGAAAGGGAGAGAGTTGACCCCACGCTCCAACACCCTCCACCCCCATACCCTCCTCCCCACGGCTGCAGGGAGACAAGAGAAAGGGGGGGGGTGGGAAGGAAGAAAGCCGCAGAGTGGCGAAGAGGCGTCGGTGCAGATGGGTCAGGGGCGGTAGCAGGGAGTGCAGGGGCGCAAAGGCCCGTCGCGGGCCAGTGCCACGGGGCGCACGACGGGTAGAATAAAAGGGCCCGATCGTGTGCCTCGGGGCACACGACGAGCAGGGCACCATCGTGTGCCACGGGGCGCACGATGGGCAGTAGAAGGGCACCGTCGCGTGCCACGGGGCGCGCGACGGGCAGGGAAGGAGTCACACGCCCGTGGGCGGGACAAGGTAAAAATAAAACCGTCACGCGCCCTAGGCGCGCGACCGTAAAATCTTAGCAGCGGAAGTAAAGCGGGCCCACAGGCCAGGACGAACACTAAGCTCCGATAACATGTCGAGAGTAATAGAAATGAAGAGTTAAAAGGTGGGGCCTAGGCTTAGTAGCCTAGGCCCGAACTTAGGTATCGAGCGGTATTTCCCTTAGGAGCGATGTCGAGTGAGTTGAGAGAGAAATTGGTGAAAAGGTGGTTTCACTATAGGTTCAGGGGTACATATAGCATAGAAACAAAATAAGGTGCACCACCAACAAAAGTTTACATAACTACACTAACTACAACTACAAGCAATTATAAAACATGACAAAATATTTCGACAACCCGTGCGCCTGGCTCGAGTCTGTACACACTGACTACTGTGTCCCCTCACGTCGCTGCATCTGCGTCTGTGTCAGGTCAGCTAGCGGCCCCCTGCTCGTGTCGCGCTTTGTCGCACCAGACCCTCCTTTGGCACCATCGTCTTGGTCACCCCTCGGTGCAGCGCCTTCGTAGCATGCACCGCCGTGTCCTTGTCTCTGGTCTTCCTAGGGTTCTACCTCCCCTCCCACCCTTGCATGCTCCTCCCTGTCTTCCGTGTGTCGAGGGGCGGCAGCGCGCCGCTCCTCACTCCTCCTCGTTTCCCCCGACGACTGCTCCCCTGCAGACCCTGCACATGGACGTGTGGAGCCTAGCCCGCGTCAGTGGGCAGGACCGCGAGCGGTACTTCCTACTGGTTGTTAACGACTACTCGCGTTACACCACGGTCTTCCCCTTGCGCACCAAGGGTGAGGTCCTTGCTGTTTTGATCCCTTGGATCCGCGCTGCCCGTCTCCAGCTCCGCGAGCGGTTCGGGACGGAGTTTCATGTCCTGCATCTGACAGAGGTGGGAAGTATTTCTCCGACCTTCTGTAGAGCTTTTGTCGTGGGGAGGGCATTCGCCAGACGTTCACGCTTCTGGCCTCTCCGCAGCAGAATGGGGTTGCTGAGCGCCGCATTGGCTTGGTCATGGAGGTCGTTCGTACCTCCATGGTCCATGCGGCTGCCCCCCAATTTCTGTGGCCGTTTACGGTCCGCTACGCCGCGCATCAGCTCAACTTCTGGCCCCGTGTCTCCTTGCCGAAAACCTCGCCCATACTGCAGTGGACGGGGGAGGTTGGCGATGCGTCGGTGTTCCGGGTCTGGGGTTCTCGTGCCTTTGTC